CTGGTATTGATACGAGTTTATTACTTTCGGGGTTGAAATCTAACCTTTCAGAACACCTTCCAACGATTGATTGATTGATGTTTTCGGACGTGTCCACTGCTAAGGTTATTGATCTTGTAGGTATTGTAGTGCATGTTATATCTCGATACCTGACGGTGTTCCCCCACTGGATGATGAGATCTGGTGCCGACCTAGACATTCTAGACCCTCGAGATCGAAATCCAGCTTTTATAATACGTTGCTCCGACTGATTTTTTCGGACACATCCACTACTATGCTTATTAATCTTGTGGGCGTAGTTGCAGGTTACTTATCGGTATTTCTCTCCCATTGGAACACACAGACGTCGGCTCTCGGGGTTTCCCCTGCTGGTATATCCCATCAGCGGGCAACGCCGTACCCGGGACAAGCTCTAATCTCCCGACTAGCCTCCCGTTATGTGTGGTAGAATGGTGCATGTGTAGTGCGGCACGTTTTTGTGAGTATGGGGAAGAATAGGGAAAAGAAAAGGGAGGGAACATCGCTTGAGGTCCGTGGCCTGTTTTTTCGGCTTCGGTATTCCTCTGCTATTGATCGTGAAAAACACGGAATACTGTCCATGTGATCAGCCGGCCGGTAGTATTTTCGAGATTGCGGCTGAATTCGACCGAACTACAGCTAGTGACACCACTATTTTTGGAACTCGAATCTTCAAAACTCCCGCCAATAGCTCATTCCCTGAACTGTCTCATTTGGTAGGTTTCTATGAAGGAACCGTAAATAAATGCTGTTCTGCTAGATGTGTTAGTGAAGAATATTGCTCGTCATTTAAACGTGCAGTCGTGTTTTGTTCTCTATTTGTTTAAGTTTGGAGTTGCCCTCCCTTCGTTTAGGACTTTTTTATTAGAACCTTTGATGTCAGTTTCGTCTTTCAGCGTTTAACAGACGTTCACACAAAATTTGAAACCGTCGTCATGCGCAATTGCTTTGTAAAAACTCAGTCGCTCTCGTACTGCCAGGCCTGCCGATATATGCGTTAAATTTTATTTTAATACCTGTCAATGTAGATAAAAGCCAGCCTGGATAGCTGAGGTCGCAAAGGCTAATGGGCAGTGGCTCCCTGGGCTTGCAGGGTCGTGAACTGAAATCTCGTCGTGGACATGCATGTGTGTGCCTCTATGCGTGTTACGCTGCGTTACTCGAAAGTTATAAAATTAAAGTTAAATTACAGTGGTCGCTATACGACCATAGTAGTTGAAAAGCGACGGTAAATAAGTACAAATGTAGATAAGTTGTGCAGTTCAAATGTTGCGGTAGTTCTTCAAAATAAATCAAATGGCTCTGTCTCCCGGAAAGGACCGGAAATACAGAAAAGATTCAAAATATAAACACATCAAAAATTAAAAGTATTTTAACACATTAAAAAATATATAATCTTATATTGCTAAATTCATGTATTGTTAGTTCTTAAATATAATTACTTAACCCTCAATCATATCTTCTCCTATATTATTTGAGTAGTATAGATGGGTATTGCGGTTTTTATGCGCTTGTCACGGGTGGTAGCAATTAGTACAAGAATTAATATCTCAGGTTCATCATTTGGCAGCACTGAATGGCATCTTGAACTACCTTTAATCCTTATTATCCATGAGGAGAACGTAACTCTTGGAAAATAGGTGTGAGAGGTTTCAACCTAAGGATTCTACAACTTAACTTTGAAAAATGTCTTACTCATGTATACACAAGAGTAGTGTTTTAACTTAACAATTTATTAATTCATAACCTAAATATCTAAAGAATGCAATTACAAAACCTAACACTAATCTACGTAATTAATATGGTTACATTATTTAAAGTAAAATGAAAATAGTTTGCATTGCAAAAAGTTACTGGTTCCTGAATGAAACTTAAAAATGATTTACTTGAAAGCTTTACTTATAATGTGATAATGTCCGACTACAGATTTTCTCACTCATGTGGCTGGTATTGGTATGGTGGTGAGTTTTTGTTGGCATTTACAATGAAATAATTGTATGATTCGTCATTGCCAACAATATTATTTATTAGAATATCAGCTTTCGATGGCTTAGCCATCACCATCAGTTTTCTGCTATATGAAAGCGACAAAAACTGATGTATGGAGTCGTTTTTGTGGCTTCCATACAGCAGACAACTGGTGATGACGGCTAAGCCATCGAAAGCTGCTATTCTAATAAATAATATTGTTGGCAATGACGACACATATTTCATGTGGCTGGGACGCCACGACGACCACACCAACAACAGACATCGATAGGCGTCTCCGGGACGGTAAACCAGTGACAGCTGGCGTCAGGGGCAGTGTGTATAGTGAGCCGAAGCTAGTGGGTGAGGGCGAGGCCCTGTCGACCGATCCTTTTGTTGCAGGAAGCAGGGATCGGGAGAGGTGGGCGTCTTAGGTGCAGTCTCGACGTGGTCTCGGGGGATATTTGTGAGCACAACGAAAATTGTTCTACTGCGTCGTTGCTCAAAGAGTAACACTAAATATGGAATTCTTATTTCTTGCCGCGCGTCCTCTATGACCTATGTCATCCGAGTGTCTGCGACATGTGCCTGATGTTATTAAAGTGCCCTATGATACTTCATGATGGTGATGTTATTAATGTCACTGATAACACACCATGACGATAATGTCATGATGACACTTCGTGACACGCTCCTAATTATTTTAAACGAAACCTCTACCAAAAAGGGAAGTTCACGGAGACTTGTTAAATGGTTTTTTACTTAAAAAAGGTGAAGGATTTGTTGAAAAAAAAAGCATCGAAATATTCATGTTAAATGCAACCCGCAACTCTCGAGTAGCGTTATTGATATCTATATAGTTATATAACTCCAAAACAAAAATGGAATTTCGAACCTAGAGGCCAAAGGCCTGAAAGAAACATTTTCCCACCGTTATCTACAGGAACAAATCTTCTTAAACATTCTGTTGGGTTTTTGCTTATTCGGGGCTTCTCTATACTTCATAGTATTACAATTTCATTCTGAAAAACATTGCAAAGAGTAAGGTTGTTGCCCAATCCTGTATTTTTGCATGAACAACTTTATTAATCTGTCTCAATAGTAAAAAGCTATTTTATATTTTTATGACTATCAAGGTAAGGGAAAGTAATCTGTGAAGGAAGATTCTATAATTACTTTCAATATTGTTTTAAGGAAGTGATGTGCATGTGGAAGCATGTTTTCAAGGACATCTGTCTGGAATACTAAATAAACCTTTATTAAAAATTTGTTTCAAATATCATTTGCTTTTTTTGTTATTTAAGGTAGCACCAACTAAATGGTTATTAGCGACCACTAGTGCTTGTAACGGTATGGTAACTGTAAGAATGACACGATATGATAATGATGATGATAGGGGGTGAAAGGACGAAACACAATACATCCATGCCCGAGGCGGGACTCGAATCCAAGATCGCTACGTCACTACTGCCTTAGTGATCTCGACCATCCGGTCCGGCATCATTTGCTTTGTATTTTATTTTTATTTGATATTTTGTTAGTACGGAGATTTATATTTTTAAAACAAATACACACGTTTCATTAACATGGAATTTCGTTAACATTTCCTTAATATGGAAATGGGAGAATATGAAACGGTGGAGTTTAACACGCGAGAGATTTTGCACGGGTACGCTAGTTGTAATTCGTTGTGAGATCTACCGTTCCCCATCCTTCATAGAAGTACTGAGTGTCCTGTCTGCCGTCTCCCGGAATAGCAATAGTTTGTGACTGTTGATAACCGTGAACACATGAGCTTTCCCTTGCATAACGCTTCTGCTTGTGTTGCAGCGCGGCGGACCATGTGAAAGGCGAAAGTCCCCGGCCACTACCGCCCCAGCGCCATGGCTGAGAACGACGCGCCGACCCAGATCGGCGAGAGGTGAGTAACCGTATCCGTTCTGATACATTTATGACCGCACATTTTGGCACTCATGTTAGAGACTGTCGAGATCATGGGGAATGAACTAACTGGGGGAGGGTAATCAGATGTAGTGCCTTAAGGAGACGTCATCTTGGAGGAAAGATGTGGATCATGCGCTGTGGATGGCTCGTTACTCAAGCGTCAGCCTGAATTTATCGGAGGACGCTATGAATTACTTGACTATAATTATTTTGTATAAATCTATGATGAGCTCATGTAACTGAAAGAACTAATGGGAGTAGAATAGCTGTTTTTTGGGTGGGAATTTGTGTAAGAAGTTGAAGTGTTTAATTCCTATTGTGATCACATTCTTCCTAATTCAGTGGTAGGGAATACACATTAATGAACAATGGTTCAGAAGAATGAAATGAATTCTTCTAAATAGAATTATTCCTGAGCGTAAGCGTAAATTAACAACAGACGCAAGTATGCTTTGATGTGAACTTTCTCGTGTAATATCTCTCATCATTGAATTATAGTTAATAACGTGATCAAAATTCTTGTTGAGATAGTAATAAATTTATATCGGCGAAATATGCTAATAAACGTGCTGCTGTTGCTACGGCGCCTTTGGCTTCTATTATAGGTCATGGGCTAATATTAACTAAGAGAAATGGATGGTTTTCGTGTGTTCATTTACATCTATTGAAAATTGTGTAGTTAATAAGTCAGATTGAGCAATAGTCACAGGTAGTTCTAGAATTATTAAAGGGATTTGTGATACAGTAAGGTTTTTGAATTAGAAGTTGAACTTAGGATTATAGGTTCTATGTTGTCTAATTATGTTAATAATAATAATAATAATAATAATAATAATAATAATAATAATAATAATAATAATAATAATAATGACCTGCGGTTATGTGTGCTGTTAGTCGGTTGGCGAGGGTTAGTGGGCGAATGATATTGATAATGGTTTCGATACATAGAACTATAAATGGAATTTATATTATGGAACATTGAGTTCCATTATTTATATTAATGGAACGTTGAATTTAGTTAGTGATCATTTCGGACGTCGTCTCCACTCAAGGTTTGCCAAATCTGCTCCATCAAGGCTGTGGAATTGGAATGGAAGGTCTCCACGTGGAAGTAAATTCGCGTTTACATTCACCATCGCAACCGGTCCATGATTCACCACAATGATTGGAAATTATATACGTGTACAATATGAAACGGATAGGCACTGTAATTGATTTAAGACACCTGTATTGTACTTTCTCTTTGATTTGATACTTTGTCTAAACATCTAGAAGCCGTTTCGCGTCCTCCGTGGTATAGAAGAATCCGCCTAAGAATGAGCCAAAATGACAATTCTCTAAACAAGTGAATATCACATGAAATTCCGAGAAGTATTCCTTCGCCGCCACAGCTGTTCAGTCACGCCTCTTCATTAAGTGTCCATGTGTATACATGCCTCCCGTTAGACATCGTGGCTTCTCTGGTTCACAACCATGTAATTATATAAAAAATAAATTTATAAAACGCAAAGCACGGAACGTTCTCGATCTCAGCTCGCCGCCACTTTACCACATAGGAGTACGTGTCTGACATTCAAAACTGTTTCCAAATAAACATAATACTTATCGCACAAAAAGTAAATTAAATATAATATTTATATTAAAAAATATTTTTCTAAAGGGAAGAGCACCGCTCTTCCTTTCAATTTTAATTATTTCTCGTGACACACTACATTTTCGTCGGACAAGGACATCATAAAATGAAGCGTCAAAGCCTTTTAGCCAAGTTAGCCAACTGCAAACGAACGAATGAAGGGAGAAGATGCAAATGGGGCTGAAGGACACGACCACAGAACCTTCAGTTATGTTGCCAGAACTAGCTGTCTAAAGAGTCCTTTCTTATAAAACGCGCTCTATAAGCTATGTCGTAGCAAAACTATTTCCTTTCAGCCGCTCCGAAGCGCAAGATAGCATGCATATAATACTGAATCAGATCAATTAGATCATTTTTGTCTTTCTTGTGAGGTCCCAAGGGCCATAATTAAAACCTATAATATGTTTTCGGGTCATATTTTAGTTGCAAGGGCAATCCACTTCTAATTTCTCTGTACTGTTGATCTCGACACTTTTCCCGATTGCTCTGAAACGGTGAGAGGGTGGGTGGTTGGGGGTGATGCCATGTCAGGACATCAGGCCGTACCATGCGAACATATTGGGATGATTTTAAATTTCTGAATTTACGAGAAAAAATCTTTATATATAAATATAACGTATTTTTACATTAAAGGGGGGTGTTGACCCCGACAGGCGCATGCGCTAGGTGCACAATGTTCTCGTCCGACATGGATGAAAGGGGCTTTCATATTTTTGTGTAATAACTAAAGATCGAATTTTCATGCAGTAAAACTCTCTACAATGTGCAGTAAAACACCAAAACGTGTAAAAATAGACAATAGATATATAAAGACTCTGCTGAACGGAGTTTTTCAGCCTAAAATCTCTAGTTAATTCGCTTTTCAACTTATTTTTATATTTTGAATGTAATAGGTCTGTTTAAGGTGAATTAAATATTATATTTTTAGTATTTTTATAATAAGTTTGTACATATTGTTTAAACAAACCATATTTCACATTTTAAATGTTATTCGCACACAAAATTAAATTAGCCTTAAACCGCAAAAAAGTGAATCCAAAAATATAAAAAAATAACATAGCTTCAGAAATAAAAAATAATCAAATAACAGAAGAAATATTGTTAATTGTTTTCATTATAATTTACATGTATGAACATTACCAAATTATTTTCTCAAAAGTTATTATTTCTTCTATGAACATTTTCCTTCCAACAACATTTTCAGGTAGCGTTACCTAAAACGTGCAATATCGTGTAATAACCTCCCAAAAGTGCAAATTCGTGCAAAATAACACGAATACTAAAATAACGTCCATTTCATGATTCAAACTTCGGTCAAAGGTCCATTCAATTTCAAGTTAGCAAAGAAAAGATGCAATACACGGGTCTTAAGTAACAACCTTTTGTAGACCACAATAAATGGCACCGGCGGGTCGCCAGTAGGACAACCCTGAATGAGATGCATCCAGAGCCAGATTTACCTAGAAGCAAAACAAGCAGTTGATTGGGGACCCCATTCACCAGGGGCCCCGCATTTCAGAAAAATACGCATACCATATTTTTTGTCTGTGAAATAATTGTTTATCAAGTAGTCTACTGTGCAACAAAATGTACAATTTCAAAACATTTTTTAAAAATGATTATGGAGCATGATAAGCTGCGAAATCTTCGTTTTGAAAACGTAATCGACCAATTTTCTGCAGTGAAGAACAGAAAAAAATTCTGTAAAATGTAGTTAATGTAAAAAATGGTAACACAAGTAAAAATTTCTATAAAAAATTATCACTTTCATTTGTATATGTACAGAAAGTACTTCTACTATAATACATTTTGTATTATGCGCATTATTATGCATTTTGTGATTATTGAGCTATTTTTTCGGGGGGGGGAGGGGGAATTAGAATTTTGTGCTGGGGCCCCGCAAACTTAAATCTGCCCTGGATGCATCGATGAACGTCATGCACCATCAAGCTCTACAACTTGAAATATCAGTGAAAACTGCTAATATATTGTGTACAACTATATACTTATATACCGTAATACAACATGCAACATTCCGCTCATTTTTAAATCCCTTGTGAGAGAGTCAGAGTTTTGGTTAATGAGCAGCTCCTAATCAGACTACCGTTACTAATCCTAATCAGATTATAAAGCACTCAAATGCGTATGCTGAATATGCCGAGATAATATTTTAATCTCTACTCTCCACATCTGCTTCGAATACACAGATTCGAGTTATTTCCCATTTTCATTCACTCAGCTATATTTTGCTAGTGGTATGGCATTTTCCCACTACCTGTCGCAAAATCGAACATTCGTTAATTCATGAATTTTTGAAGGCTTTTTTATTTCAGGTCGCATTGTCTGCAAGGTTAGCGACCACAATATTCTTTTTAACTTTTGGAGGTAACGATAAGGGTTGCGAAACTTGCTTACTCGTATATAGACACAAGTCGAGTTAGTTGTCAAGAGGCTAGGGAGCACCTCCTCGTAGACTCTCACACGCGGTTCTGCTCCATTACCCAGAGGCCTGAAATGGGGTGAAACTAGAACAGTGGTAGGGCTTAGGATGCTGCACAGGGGATGGACTAGCTCCTGGGAAGCAGGCAAACTCGTTTTGTCGGAACAAATTTCACATGAGTTTGTCGGGGAATAGAACCCCTATCTCCTTGGTGAATGGCTAAGGACTTCGCTGTGAGCCCCGAGTGGCCTGATTTACTAATTTCTGTGTTCTATTTCTTCTTCTTGTACACAACATTGTCATCCGTCCATATCTTCTTCGGCCTTACAGTACATTGTTAGCCTTCCGAAATGGAAATAACAACAAGTCACATTCATATCCTGGAGTTATCCAAATGTCATACATTCCAATCTTTTTAAACAGTTTATTGCTGATTTGTTCTCATAGTTATGCCTCGCATGTTTTCCATTCTTTTCCATTCCACTATTCTTCTGAAGGTAATTATCTTGCTAATCTTTTTAAAATTAATCTACACTTCAGCATTGAGAGGAAAATCATTGAAATTACTTCAACAACGATTCCGAGTGTTCGATTGTCAAAACAACCATTATCCTGCAGGATGGCAACACTGGGCCGCTAGTCGCCCGGAGCCAGTGCCGACTGTGCCCTTCACCTCCCCTCCCATTTCTACCACCCGGCGCACAAAGGTCGTAAACACGCACCGCGCTGGGGGGTGGGGGTGGTCGATGACGTCACTACAGGTTAAATGCGCGCCAGGAGAGGAAAACGCGCATGCAGCTCCGAGGTCCGCATAAAAAAACTCAGATGTTGACGGCTTCAAAATAGAAAGAAAAAACTGTGCTGAATCGTATAAGAAATATGTTATATCATAATTACCCTAAAGCATGTTATTAAAGGAAATACGAATACATTTGTTTTTGTATTTAAGAATTATAAAAGACCATTTGGTTACGAATAAATCGTTCATAATAGAACATTTTATGGAACAGCTTATGACGTATTTGCAGATAACATGATGAGTAATTACGTCATCACACATTCAGCCAATAGCAGTGAGAGAATTGTAGTGAGACAGAGGTAAACTGGACAGCTGACCACCGTTTTTTCCCCTTCAGATATGTCAAATGTACGTGATGACACAATAAAGTTGTTTTCAAAAAAAATAACTTTGATTTTCTGATATATTTATGAAGCAGTTATGCAAAAAATAACGTAAATAATATTGTTTTATTACATTCGTACACATTTTAAAACTCTCTCCTGACGTCGCTAGTTTTCAAAACATGTTCTCTGGTTGTAAAGCATAACATTATAAACTAGTTGCTGTACATGAGGACTGCAACAGTGAGTTGCTGCTGAATAAAATAATACAAAATATTTTTTTAAAAAGTACCACGCACACTGCTAAAGAGAAAACAAACGAAACACTCGTATACCATAAAATATAAATATTATTAATAAAAACACGAATGATACAATTACATACTTTATGTATTCATACGTATAAACCTACAACATACCCAGAATGTAAAAAAAAGTTGCTGTTTCCTTAAGAAACACGTGAATAACAAATATTCAATCATTCTTGGATCTTTACTGTTACATTTCGTCAGCTATGTTGCAAGCACAGACGCACCGAGTATACGATAATTCAGTTGATACATGCAGTATGGGAATAGGTTAAATAACACAATCCAATAATTGCATTTTTCAATGAAAATTGCAACTGGTTCATTATTTTTTGTGGTTTCTGTGAATCTTAACGAAGCCATAGGCATCTCTCATGTGACTGGAGGTTGCATAGTTTTTTTTCCAGTTTTTGCGCGAAACCAGTAATTTAGTTTCAAATTAGATCAGCATCGGGAACGATGGGCCGTGAAAGCAAAGCCTGCCATGCGAGGTATTAGAGTCTGGAACATCGCGGCTTTGATATCGGTCTCCTTTCAGGGATTTGCTTCATGTCCTGAACATCGGTGAGTTTGTGCTGCCTTCTACAATCGAATTTTCATGTGGCTGCCATTGGTGATTTGGTGGAGTCCTTTAACATTTCCAGGCGAATGCGGTACTACGGGTCACCGCGTGATCATGCCTTCCCATTCTATTCCCTTCCCAGCCATCTTCTCCAATTCGCACGGGAAGAACGTGTGTGGAAAAAATAAGTTCCGTAAAGTCCCGTTGTTACCAGTCTACATCAGAGTGGAAGAAAGACAATATTCATTTTTAATGAAGAGGAATATTTGAAACTATATATATCCGTGTCTCATATTATGAGTAATTTCATTGTCCTAAATGTAATAAGTTTAAATATAGATGCAAACATGCAAGAAACTTTAGAAACCGGTTTATTTCTTAAACCGTGCGTTATAAAGAGAGAATTAGTGGATTGTATAATGCATTTACGTTACATACACACACACACACACATACATACACACACACACACACACACACACACACACTGGAGCCCTGCGGAGCTCCGTTGAGGGCCAGGCTAAACAAGCAAACGATTTGGGTGTGTTGCATGGTATAAGTGGATGCTTTCAACATTCTCGTTTAATTACATAAATTAACTTGCTACACAAAGAGAAAGGGAGAAAATATAAATTTACAGTGAGCACTATTGTGCAGGACTGGAGGACAGAACGCAACACACTTGCACATGACATTGCAGTGGGAGATCAAGTGGGAGTACTGTGCCCGGCTTAGGTAGTTCAAGGCATTAACAGATGTCATTGCATTGCATTAGACCTAGAATTAGAGTTCCGACAGTGGCAGGATTTTTGACACTGACTGAAGAGCTGAGACGTTTTCAGTCGCTATCTTTAGGATAATTCTAGCGGCCGCCTTCTCTGATCGATAGTTTTACGTGGTTTCTCCGATCAATACCAGGCGATTGTACCAGGGAAGCCAGAGCATTCGCCTGGTATTGATTGGCTGTCGACTGGCAACAAATGTACAGAGGATGATCTTTCTTTCCTCTTCCTTGTCCTATCCTCACCCCAAAATTACGCGCTCTAGCCCTTATAAGAAGAACCACTACAGATGCCGGGATACCAGTCGGGAGGTCAGAGCTTTTCCGATTGGGTGGGTGGTCAGCTAGTGAGAGGTACCTGGTTGGTATCCTGCTAGCCGACGATAGGCCGGCGCCGGATCGCAACATCTAGTGGAAGATGACCGCCATTTCATGAGGAAAACATGCACTACACTTACAGTATTAATGTCGTTAGGAGTTGATGTGCCCAGAATTCCTAGTTAATCTATCAGGCATATGGCAGAGCAGTACCCTAGCAAATTGGCTTCGGACGGTGCGCGATCTTTCCTCTTCCGTAGTCTATCCTTAAGCCCCTTATACACGGTGGAGTTTTCGTGCAGATTGGACATATAAAAAACGTGCAGTCCAGACTGCACAATTTCTGCGTGAAAACTTTTGAACATGTTCGTAATTTTTTTTTAAAAAAGCATACAGTTCGACTCAAGGCACACAAGACAAAATTCTAACGGCAGAATCGTTCACTAACCCGTCGCTATGGTAATCGCTCACTTCAATTTTGTTGTTAAGTGTGTCAAGGTGCGTTTGTGTAACGTGAAATTGTGATTAACTACCTCCTTCCCTATTCTTGCATTCCTTCCTATTTGTCTTCTCTATCTCTTCATAGTTAATTAATACTTAATTAAGGTCATACATCCTAACGCACACACAAAAATAACGCCACTGAAAATATTTGGGCGGCGCAATTCTGTTGTTACCCTGTACACCCCCTAGCGGTGTCTTGTGGTGATTCGTACAGAAATCGTGCAGAAATCATGCACCGGTAGGATTAGCGCATTTAATTGGAGTGCGCAACAGGAGAGAGACAATAACAGAAACACTGACCAGCTGCTTTCGGGATGGAGAAAATTACGAATTGCTACACGTAAAATTCACGGTGATCACCAGCCTTGTGCAAATTGAACTAGTTCGTTAATAGAACGAGTTAAATTACAGTCGAGAGCAAACGGAAGTAACGAGATGGAAACGACAGCATCCACGCTCGACTGTTTCCTAACAGAAAAAAGCTGCGCAGTTGTATATGTAAAGTATTAGGAGGCTATTACTGCACCGAGGAGTTTGCATAGCAAACTGTAAATTCCACACTTGTGCGTAAAATAAGTTTCGAAGCGAACAGCGGCCGCTCGATTCGGAATTGTTTCACGAGCTCATTTTGTCCGATTCTACCGAGAACGCTGGGGTGGAGTAGAGGCAACATTTACACTGCCTCTGACGCACGGATTCTACAGGTGGCATATAATAAGGTATTACAAGCCGAATGCAAATTTGGTAGGAGGGGGGAGGGGGGTCAAAGAGGGAGCCGAAAGTTCCGAGCAGTTGCCAGTAGTCGTGCAATCTGGTAGCAGCGGAAGGTGGGGCACGTTGGGCTGAGCGGATGCTCAGGTAAGAAACGCTAAAATGGTCTTTTTCAAAAAATGAGGTTCTGAAAGATGTTACCCAATAATACACTATGCTTGTATCAGGGAGGCAACGAAACCGGTACTTAGGACATGCGTTTTAATCTCAACCTTCAACGGTGCGCGTGTGCTTGACAGGCTGATAACAAGATCCTCTGAAACTGTTGATTGTTTCGTGTTTCCGGACGCGTGAACGGCTGTAGTCATTGACTCCGTAAGTGTAGTGCACTTTGTATCTCTGTAGGTGACAGTGTACCTCCTTTTGAGATTCGTGCAATCTGGCGCGGCCGGCGAGATACGGTGTCAACTTACACGGCCTTGCGGGGCCTTGCGGGGTTTTCTCCCTCCAGGTATCTCCGCTCCATCCGGGACAAGTTCCAAACACCCACCTTGCCTTTCGAAATGGGAACAAAGAAGATGAAGGAAATATCGCGCGCTGGCCAGGCGCACATAAATGTCTCCGAGGCCCACTAATTTCAGTGCAGTATCTTATTAGGTACTGATCTGATATTAGCCAGCTATTGATCGGGGAAACCATGGAAATCAACCAAACAGAGGCAACGTAGAACGCTTCTCCGGACTACGGCTACATTTCACTCGACTGAGCAGCTAGTGTCGAAAATCCACCGCAGTCAGGGTTTGAGCCCTGGCACATCCCCATTGGAGACAATGCAGTGGAAAAATTGTTACTCTTAGCTACCTCCGGGCTGGAATGCGACCGTCTATTATGTGACCTTCCCTATCCGTTGGCTGCAGCCCCAATTATCCCGAATGCGGCGCCCCTTTCGCAAGGGATCCCCCTCGACACTGTTCTAATGAAAAGATATTTCGTTCAATCAGAGGTCTGGACGAAGCCCTCATTCATTAGTCCCCACTCATTAGTCGTAGAGGCACTGCCGTAATGAGCCAAACCCATGTCGAGCCATCCCGGTCCTTCGAGTCCGGGGCTTAAAGCCCTCCCGTGCCACTCAACCCAGATAACGTCCTCGCACTCTCGACGTGGACGGTCCTGGGGAACTGGGCCACGGCGCGAGAGCTTCCAATTCCTCTCCAGGGTATTGGAGACTCAGAGCTCTAATCCTACATATAGTAGACGCCCCCCTAACCCACTGCATTCTGCTTTGATTGATTATTTAGTTTTCGCATCACAATTAGGGAGGTTAGTCCTTGAGTGAAGTGCGTGATCAATCGCGGGAGGTGACGGTGTTCGACCCCCAGTTAAACGTGACATCTGGGGTCGACCTAAAATTCGGCTTGAGGGGTTTC